TGTGTGGTTTACGTACCTATACCACCTTCGCATCGTTCTTCAATGGGCTCGCACCGTCGATTAGGTATTTATGTTGGGTATGAATCCCCTTCTATCATTAAATACCTTGAGCCTATGACAGCAGATCAGTTTACTGCACGGTTTGCTGACTGCATTTTTGATGAAGATCATTTCCCGGCATTAGGGGGAGAGAAAAGCCCAGCTTTGAAAAAATGCCACGAAATTTCATGTGATGAAAAAGATCTTCAATATCTTGACCCACGTACTAGTCAAACTGAACTTGAAGTTCAGAAAATAATAAATTTGCAAAAACTAGCAAATAATCTGCCAGATGCGTTTACTGATTATAAAAGAGTAACTAGGTCCTATATTCCTGCAAAAAATGCTCCATCAAGGATAATTGTCCCCAAAGGACCAAATACTAACACCAACACTATCCGACGCCAGAAGCATGGAAGACCAGTTGGTGCAAAAGATGTAAATCCGCGGAAAATTAAAAACAAAAAACAATCACAGTTACTCCAAAATCGTCCTGAAGACGAAATACCCAGTGTAAATGCACGTGCTACAAATAAATCTAACACTGGGAATACGGAACACCTTCACCAAGATATGATAGCAAATGAGAAATATTTGGTTGAAGTAAATGTAGAATCTGCCATAAACTTTTTCGAAACAGGAGAAAATCTTAATAGAAATATAACAGTCGTCGACGACCAATTCGCCTCTACAATTGCTCTTCACATTTCTTTCAATAATCTGGATCCAGAACCAAAAACTATAGTGGAGTGCCGGAAGCGCTCCGATTGGTTGAAATGGAAAGAAGCAATTGAGGCTGAGCTCAACTCGCTAAATAAAAGAAAAGTATTTAGTCCTCCTGTACTTACCCCTAAAGGCGTGATCCCAGTAGGATCCAAATGGGTATTTGTACGAAAGAGGAATGAACAAAATGAGGTGTTCAGATACAAAGCGAGACTGGTAGCTCAAGGTTCTCACAGAGACCCGGAATAGATTTTGAACAAACTTACTCTCCTGTCTTAGATGGCACATCGTTCCGTTATCTAATATCACTGGCAGTAAAAATGAATTTAGAAATGCAGTTAATGGATGTTGTGACCGCATATTTATATGGGTCACTAGACGCTGACATATATATGAAAGTACCTGAGGGCATCCAAAATCCTTTATGTAAAGGAAATACAAATAAAAATATGTTCAGCGTAAAGCTACAAAAGTCATTATATGGCTTAAAACAATCAGGAAGAATGTTGTATTGTCGATTGAGTGAATTCCTCTTAAAACAAGGATATGAAAATAAAGATATTAGTCCTTGCATCTTTACAAAGAAATCAACTGATGGTTTCTGTATTATATCAATCTATGTAGATGATATAAACATCATAGGGACGAGCAAGGACGTCAAGAGGGCATGCTTGTGCTTAAAGGAGGAATTCGAAATGAAAGACTTGAGAAAAACCAAGTTCTGTCTCGGCCTGCAGATCGAGCACCTCACTGAAGGGATATTCATACACTAATCCAAATACACTGACAAGTTATTGGAGAAATTCTACATGGATAAGTCCCATCCACTTAGTACTCCAATGGTAGTCCGATCACTTGAAGTTGATAAGGACCCGTACAGACCTAAAGAAGATAATGAGGATATTCTGGGACCAGAAGTTCCTTACTTAAGTGCCATTGGAGCACTTCTATATCTTGCCAACTGCACTAGACCTAATATTGCATTTTCAGTAAACATGCTAGCTCGTTTTAGTGCTGCTCCAACCAGAAGGCATTGGAATGGCATAAAACATATCCTCAGATATTTGCAAGGTACAAAGGATCTTGGCCTTCTATTTAAAAGAAACCAAGACACCACATTAGTGGGATACGCGGATGCTGGCTTTATGTCTGATCCGCATAATGCTAGATCTCAGACTGGATATGTGTTTCTTTCTGGAGGTACTACTATTTCATGGAAATCAGTTAAACAAACATTAGTAGCTACCTCCTCAAACCATTCTGAGATTATTGCCTTATACGAGACCTCCAAAGAATGTGTATGGTTGAGGTCATTAATGCACAATATTCAAGACTCTGTGTGGAATAATGAATAATGGAAAGATCCCCACTATCCTGTACGAGGACAATGCAGCATGTGTTGCACAAATGAGTAATGGATATGTTAAAGGTAATCTCACCAAACATATTTCACCAAAATTCTTTTATCCACATGAACTCCAGAAGAGTGGTGAAATACGAGTCCAAAAGATCCAATCAAGTGAAAATCTAGCAGATTTATTCACTAAGTCCTTACCTACATCTACTTTTGAAAAGTATGTATATAAAATTGGTATGCGTAGATTAGGAAGGTTGTTGTCTTCAGGGGGAGCAACAACATCTTCAAAGTAATGAAATTGTTAGTCCAGAAGATTAACTCATTCACTTCGATCCAGAAGATCAAAGACATACTCTTATGATTTATACCTAAACCCAGAAGGTTTACGGTTGTACTCTTTATCCCTTAACTGAATTTTTTTTCCCACAGGGTTTTCTCAGTGTAAGGTTTTTAATGAGGCAACCGAAGCAACACATGCATTATCCATAAATCATGTACTCTTTTCTCGACTAGGTTTTTCCCACAGGGTTTTTCTAGCGAGTTTTTAACGAGGCATGATTATGGCAAAATAATGTCCAAGGGGGAGTGTTATAAATCAAAATCTTAATGGACATTATTATGATAATTTGTAACAGCTGAAACAGTTTTTGTACTTAATGAGAAGGTTAGATTTGTACTCTATATATTATTGTATTCATGTACAGAAGTTAGAGATAGCAAGGCAATAAAATTGTTCTTCTCACTTTTCTTTATCTTCTTCATACTGCTCTTTGTTTCACTGTTCCTGCGAGCTAAGGTCTGCAAAGGTTAATAACAAACTTGCAATACAACAGTTATCAATGTCCCCGCGTGGCTAATTTCTCTAGCTTGGTTTAGTAAATTGAAGCCTCGGAATTGATTATGCTATGAGATTATTTATTATTTGTATTATATAATGTTTATGCATTTGAGTATTAAATATTCTTCTAAATTATTTGATATAATTATTTGCTATATTATCTAATGTTGTGCTACAAATTATTCTAATATTCAGTAGCAACTGAGGTTAATTATTGACGGCTTTAGTGATATTGGTCTCAGAAAGAATATTTTCCTAAATTAAATGCAACCGCTTGTGCTTGTGTTATTTAGTTTGTCGGTTTTCCAAGTTCCTATTGCTGCTATTAAATTAAATCTATAGTGCTTGTCTTAGATTATTTAGTAGTTAGGGGTAATTAAACCGCGTGTGCTTTAGTTATCTACAACTAAGGAAAAACGGAAATGAAATAATTTCACGATAAATATTCAATTACATATTAATTACCTTTTAAATCAATGATCACAGCTAAATTCCGGTGGTGGATCTTCAATATGTGTATATATATATATATATATATATATATATATATATATATATATATATATATATATATATATATATATATATATATATATATATCACTGTTGTAAAAATCGCGCCTAGGCGCTCTAAGCTGTCCCCAGGCGCCTAGCGATTTTTTCAACATTGATATATATATATATATATATATATATATATATATATATATATATATATATATATATATATATATATATATATATATATGTGTGTGTGTGTGTGTGTGTGTGTGTGTGTGTGTGTGTGTGTGTGTGTGTGTGTGTGTGTGTGTGTGTGTGTGTGTGTGTGTGTGTGTGTATGTATATATATATATATGTATGTATGTATGTATGTATATAAAGGATCAAGTGAAAAAGAAATCTTAGGTGAAAAATAGGATGAAATCTCATCCATTGAATCAAATCAGATCAACGTCCAAAATGAAGCAATTTAAAAAAAAAATAATTATGGTGGCATTATGGTAATTCTGTGTAAGTTAGTTAAATTTTTTTTTTTTCCAGACCGTCCAGTGTACATTGTCCCTTCATTCAAAGCACATTGTTGTGCCTTCAACTTTTAAGATCGTAGGTATTATATATATATATATATATATATATATATATATATATATATATATATATATATATATATATATATATATCCTTGAGCAATATGTGTTTTGTGTCGTTTGTCACGTAGAGTTCAACAATTGCCCTGAAAAATCGCTTCTTTAAATGTTTGTTGAATCATTGAATGCATGGTTTTCACCGAAAACTAATGGGAAACAAATATCGGGCGTTCATAATTTACAACATTAGCGTCGTCGTTCATCTACACCTACAAGCATGCGTGACCAATATGTAGTCCTTTTGCTCTTCTTGGCCTTGAAAGTTCATCGAAGAAACATGGAATTTGTAGTTTTGCTTTCTATGGTCGCAACTAGTAAGCGCAAAGCACTTTAGTGCATTGTCGATCAAGAAGAAAATCATGAGCTTAAATACCACATTCAAAGAGAAACTTCAAACAAAATGTACCAAAATACTTCTTATAAAGTAATTAAAAAATTAAAAAATTAGTGCAATTTTACAAGTCAAGAAGACCAAATTGTATAATTTTGAAAGTTAAGATCTATAAGCAATACTCAATAGTTGAGAAACTTGATCAAAATATTAGAGTTCACGCCAACACACTATGCAACGAAGACGTTTGTCCACTATAAAAGTAGTTAAAAATTCCAATTACTTCGAATTTACAAAAACTTTTGTCGATACCAATAGTTGTCGGAACATTCGTTTCTGACTGAAAACCCTCAATAAAAAATCTAAATATTTCCAATTGTGGAGGAAGAAAATATTACTTCTAAGAGGGATACTTTGTTATGTACAAAATTGACAGTCTTACTTCATGCATTATATATTTATATGTATTAACGTTAAGTTGTAAGAATTTATAAATGTTGAATAAACGATTAGTAGGAAGCTGTAAATTTTAGACTTAACCCATTAAGGAAAAAAAAAAAAAAAATTGTAGTAAGTGCTGAAACTAAGATTGGAATTGGTAAGCAAACAAAATGCATTCTGGTTGTGCATAACAGCTTAAACTGCATGAATATATAAATTGCAGTGTACTAAGATTTCTTCAATTCTTAGTATGTACCAAGTGAGATACCATGAATTGCCAAAACTAATTGTTACTCAAAACTGAAATCTAGAGCCCAAACTCTCTTCATATGCCAAGATTATAGGAATTCCTTCTTCCTTGACTGGCAATATACATTTCAGATAACCCTAAAAGATCGGGCGATCCTATTCAGATCACTGTAATGCCTCTTCCATTGAAGACCTGCCAGTGCGAGGCAATGGACAATCAATGAATATCACATTCAGCACAAAACAAAGAAAAACGGTATGGAGCGAGGTAAAAGTGCAGGGATGGAAAGGGATGGGATATGTACCATTTCCGGTTACACTGAACAAGTAGAGGCGGTTGCCAGCTGCAGTTGCGGTTATCAGAACGTGAGGTGGCTCCAGTTCGAAATGGTAATATTTTCTCCCCGAATCTTCTGTTACTTCGGAGCTCAACACCTTCCCCTCGACGTTCTCTCCAATCACTTCTGGCCCGAACGCATTAATCACTTTTTCCGGGGGTCCAATTTCTTCTATGGTGATATCCTCTCCAAGAGCTGTGCCACAGAAGCAACGATATAATGTTTAAGCTAACATAACTTCTCAATCATACATTCCTTTGTTCTAAAGCTTTAATTTTTTGGACAAAAACTTAGCCTCAGAATTAGAAGAGAATCGAATCAAGAAACTACAATGGGATAGATGGGAAGCTCACTATCTGAAAATCTTTTCACAGGGGCGACGATTACAAATAGGCGTCCTTCTTTTGGGCTGGCAAATCTCAAGTCAATCTCTGTGCCTCCAAGATCAGCAATTGAAACTGGGACCTGTTTCGGTCAGAAGAAAGCTTTCTTCTGAAGTTATCCAATTGAAGAGCGTTTGTTCGCATGTATGTTTTGGCAGAGCAGAGATTCATACATACCTCATCCCATTCTTGAGGCACCGAGAAAGAGTAAGGGATAATAGGACTCCATCCAACCCCGTGCCCTCCAGACTTATCATCCGGTCTACGGTATGTCCTCCAACCTGCCTGAGCATTTTCTTGTCTAGTGAAGATGAGCAGTTTTTGTAATAATAATTGGCTCTGTTTAGTAGAACTTATTTTAAGCTAGAAATGAGCTATAAACCCTGTTTGGTAAAACATAGGAAGTTTAAAATAATAGTATATTTTGAAATAGACGCTATGTCATCCCAAATAGCGTTTCAAAATAAGCTATTGACTTTTAACACGTCAGCTGGGTCAGCCAAGTTCAGCCCGACGTGGCGTAATGAAAGATAGATGGAAGATAGTTAAATGGTTAATATCCACCTACTTATCACCAATTGGTTAAGAGGATATGACAACTAGATAACCAAAAAACTACAAGATGGGAAGTAAGCATGGTGCAAAGCTAAGATCATTCAACAGCTAATTTTACCAAACACTTTAATTTCAACTAATTAGTTACTAGATTTTCAGCTAGTTGTGCCAAACATAGCCAAAGTATAGAATGCAGTCCGCGGAATTACATTGTATCATTTTACATATTATAATCAACCTTACATACATAAGACACAACATCGATTCAATGAAAATCTTACCAATTAACAAGTAGAGGCTTGAGTTCTACACATGGTTGCAATAGGCGCAAGGCGCTAGTCGGGCGGTAGAGTAGCGCCTAGCGCCTAGACGGCCTAGTCGGGGCCTAAGCGGCCTAGGCGGCTAACTGAAAAAAGGAAAAACAGTGCACGTGTGTAGGTGCATATATGTCATATTATACATACATACATACTCACATACATATACATATATATATATATATATATATATATATATATATATATATATATATATATATATATATATATATATGTCATATAAATGAAAAAAATTAGCAAGGTTGAGTCGGCCGGGTTAACTCGGCTAACTCGACAGAAATTGGGTTAACTCGGCGCTAGGCGGCAGAATTAGGCGCTAGGCGGTCGCCTAGGCGGCCGGTTTTCTAGGCGGGAGTCTAGGAGGAAAATCGCCTAGCGCCTAGGCGCCGATTACTCGGTGCCTAGGTGGGATTTTTACAACCTGGGTTCTACACCATATATACTAGCTAGCTAGGTTTACATTATATCAATGTGTCATTAATTATACTTAGCTAGTTTTGTTTATCTAGTTTCAAATCTGCTTACCAATTTCTCTCTAAATCACTCGAAAATTAGAACCTATTTAATGTATGGAATGTATATATACATGCCAACTACTATGTAGGGTGACCAAATCGGTTACCATAAATGGGGATGATCCAACCCTAATAGGGGCATTGATTCTTTGGGTTGAAAAAGAGATACTACCTTATAAAGAATTATGATCGTTTCAAAGAAAAAATATACATAATAATTGTTAGGGAACTTTTTTGGTTGTTTGTATTGCTGTTATTTTCCACTTTCGAGGGTGGAGACCTCCAGAAAAGAAACTATAGAGAGAGAAGAGAGCACCAGAAGAAGATGAGAGAATTTCTTAAATCCAGGATGATGTCCCTTCATTTTATTTCTACTTTATATATACAAGCTAATGTTAACAAACTTCCTACTAAACTGCCTACAGTTACTAGTTTTTATTTAATGACCAGAATAAATGAAAATAATTAAAGACAAAGTCCAAAAGCTATAATTTAGGAACAGACATAGTCATGCAGCTTGAGAGGTGGTCGTGTGATCCTCTTTTTGTGTAGATGGTCTGACTCCTTCTCTGTAACATTACGCTCCCCATCAGAAACAGCCTTGTCCTCAAGGCTAATGTGTGGAAAGGTCTCGTGGAATGGAACCCAGTATTCCCAAGTAGCTTCAGAGGGTGATGACTGGTCCCACTGTACCAAAACTTGTTGTAGCTTCTGCTTATTCTCCGCCACCATCCGCCGATCAAGTATACGCAGAGGAGTTGGAAAGTGAGCTGCTGAGGCGGGGGGCTGGACAGGCGTCGCCGCACCGGGATTTGGACAAAGCTTTAAAAGCGAGACGTGGAACACCGGGTGGATGCATGCAGTGGCAGGTAATGCCAACTTATAGGCAACATTGCCCACTCGTGCCAGACTACGGTACGGGCCAAAAAAACGTTTTGCTAACTTGTTGTTACGCCGCTGGGCGACAGAACCTTGGCGATATGGCTGCAATTTGACATATACCCAATTATCAACTGCAAATTCTTTGTCACGACGGTGCCGATTAGATTGAACCCGCATTCGTTCCTGAGCTCGTTGAAGGTTGAGTTTGAGCGCAGCTAACAAGGTTTCGCGGTCAAGTAGGGATGTGTTTAGTGAGTCAATCGGCGTGGTGTCACTTGAATACCCGATAAGTGGTGGAGGAGGCCTCCCATAGACAACTTGAAAAGGGGAGAAACCTGTAGCACTGTGTATACTGGTGTTATACCAATACTCCGCCCAAGGCAGAGTTTGCACCCACCTAGTCGGATAGTCGCTGACAAAAGCTCGTAAGTACATTTCGAGACACCGGTTGAGCACTTCCGTTTGTCCATCCGTTTGAGGGTGGTAAGCCGTACTGTGCTTCAGGTTCGTACCTTGTAAGCGAAAAAGTTCCTTCCAAAACATACTGATGAACAAAGGATCGCGGTCAGAGATAATAGAACGAGGAAAACCATGGAGTCGGACATACTCACGAACAAAATACTCTGCCAATTTCGGCGCCGTCAACCCCTCAGGTAAGGCACAAAAGTGGCCGTATTTAGACAAACGGTCGACAATAACCCAGATAACAGTTTTGCCATTCGAAGATGGTAATGACGTGACAAAATCCATAGAGATGTCTTCCCAGACCTGGAAAGGGATCGGCAACGGCTGTAACAACCCTTTCGGGCAAAAATTCTCCGGTTTAATTTGTTGACAGATAGAGCAATCCTTGACATGTCGTTGAACATCGAGGCGCATCTTAGGCCAGTAAAACTCAGCTGCTAATCGGGTGTAAGTTTTGTGTTCTCCAGAATGGCCCCCGATCAACGAACCATGGAACAACTCTAGCAGTTTGTGCCGTAACTCCTGCACGGCTGGCACATACACCTTGCCGGTGTAGTAAAGAATTTCGTTCTGCATGGAAAACTTGGAGTCCACGTCATCGGCTGACCCCAGTTTGGCGATAATGGCCCGCGCCGTTGGGTCGGAAGTCAAAGCATTTTTAATGTCGGAGAGTAACGTGGTCGTGGTGACCACGATGGTTAGCAACCCCGCAGTTGCCTCCGAAGTCCATCGGGATAGAGCATCCGGACCGCGATTGTCTATCCCAGCTTTGTATTCAATGCTGAAATCAAAACCCAATAATTTAGTTAACCAACGCTGTTGTTCCGGGGTCTGAATAGTTTGGGACAATAATTGCTTCAGACTTTGGTGATCAGTGATGATTGTAAATGGCCTCCCCAACAAATAGGATCTCCAACGCTTCACAGTTGCCGTGATCGCATACATCTCGCGACTATAAGCCGAAGCGCCTTGATAACGAGGCGGTAACTTTTTGCTATAATAGGCTATCGGGTGGCCTTCCTGCGACAGAATAGCGCCAACTGCGCTTCCTGAAGCGTCAGTTTCCACCGTAAATGGTTGGCTAAAATCTGGAAGACGGAGCACTGGAACACTAGTCATAGCATCTTTCAAGTCGCGGAAGGACTTATCCGCAGCAGACCCCCACGTGAAACCCCCTTTTTTAAGCAAGTCTGTTAACGGTCCAGCAATAGAAGCATACCCACGCACAAACCGTCTATAATAACCGGTAAGTCCAAGGAACCCCCGTACCTCAGTTATCGACCGCGGCTTGGGCCAATTCTCCACCGTTTGAATCTTGGATGGGTCCACATGAACGCCATTCACCGACACGAAATGGCCAAGGTATTCCAGCCTATTCTGACCGAATTCGCACTTGGAAAATTTTGCATAAAGTTGGTGCTGGCGTAAGACTTCTAAGACAGCCCGAAGATGACGAATGTGTTCAGGCATGGAACGACTGTAGACCAGGATGTCATCGATGAACACTAGGACAAATTTTCGCAGGTACGGTTTGAAAACCGCGTTTATAGTGGCTTGAAACGTTGCCGGCGCATTAGACAACCCAAAAGGCATCACGAGGAATTCATAATGGCCTTCATGAGTTCTAAAAGCGGTCTTGGGAACGTCCGGTGGATGAACTCGTATCTGAAAATATCCACTACGCAAATCCAGTTTCGAGAATACTGCTGCCCCATGTAACTCATCTAGCAACTCATCCACGGACGGCATTGGGAACCGGTCACGGACGGTGATGGCATTGAGTGCCCGATAGTCAACACAAAATCGCCAAGTGCCGTCTTTTTTTTTAACCAGTAGAACCGGCGAAGAAAAGGGGTTGGTGGACGGTTGGATGATGTGTTCTTGTAGCATTGCTTGTACCTGGCGCTCAATTTCGTCCTTCTGGAAGTGCGGGTAGCGATATGGCCGAACATTTACTGGCTTTGAGTGGGGTAGAAGGGTAATGTTATGATTGGAATCTCTATTTGGTGGTAACCCTTTAGGGACGCAAAAAACATCTGAAAACTGGTTCAGGAGATCGTGTACGTCGTGATGGACCCCCGGGAAGGAACTTTCAGGGTGGGTTGTTTTTGGAAGTAGTAGGAAACACTGTGATATAGCTTTAGTTTGGGAGAGTCTCGTCAACTGGTGGCAGGTGACCGCCGTAGTGCCAGGCGTGGCCGTGCCTTCCAACTTGACCCGCTTCCCCTTGTATTCAAACTCCATCGTCAAGTTTTTATGGTCTGTAACAATACGCCCTAGTCCTTCCAACCAATGAACACCAAGAATTGCATCCGCACCTGAAAACTCCAGGACGTGAAAATCAGCTTCGAACTCAGCGCCTTGCATGACAAATGGCACAGTCAAACACATCCCTTCGCTCTGGAGCCGTTCACCATTTCCCACTGAGACCATAAAGCGTGTCGTTTTGTCTACCGGAAGATGAAGATAATGAGCTAACCTCGGCTGTAGGTAGTTATGGGAGCTACCGGTATCGATCAACACGGTAAATTCCCGTCCGTCTATGCTAGCTGCCAACCGGAAAGTTCGCGGACCTGGGGTACCGCCCAAAGCATGCAGTGAAATCTCTGGAACCTCTGGTACCGTGGCTTGCTGCTCAACGCTCTCGTCTACGTCGAATGTTTCGGGGTTTTCTTCCTCACCATTAGCGTCAATTTGATCATCGGACAAGAGTAATAAAAATGGTTTTGTTTGGCACCGGTGACCCGGCCTGAACCGTTCGTCACAGTTATAACACAATCCCTGTGCTCGACGGGCTTGGAGTTCGGCAGCTGTCATTCGCTTGATCGGTAGGGATGTTCTGGAGTTTGCGTTCTGGTTCGCGGGAGCCGGCAATGGTAGCAATGGTGGTGTAGTAGGAGGGCGAGAGGCTGGCGGGTTGTTGGGTTCGTGGTTGGGATACCTCCAAGAAACTGGTTTCGGGTTGAAGAGTCGTGTATCACGATGTTTGTCTTCGACCAATTTGGCCATGGCGATAGCATCGCACAGAGTAGGGGGTTTGTAGATGGCTAACTCGCCCTGAATCGCGGGCTTTAGACCAGATATGAAACAATCAAGTAAAGCTTCGGGAGGTAGGTCGGTAACCCGATTACTAATGGTTTCAAACTCGGATTGGTAAGCTGCAACAGTAGTTTTCTGGGTGAGCTTGAACAGTGTCGCCCGGTGGTTCACATACGAGGAAGGGCCGAAGCGTTGTTCAAGAGCTGTAGCGAACGCCCTCCAAGAGGACAATTGCTGGTTTCGATGCATCCATTGGAACCACGAGAGAGCTTGTCCAGTCATGCAGAAACTTGCAACATCTAACTTTTGTTCTTCTGCAACCTCCCACAGGCTAAAGTATTTGTCAGCCTGAAATATCCAGTCCAACGGATTGGTTCCGTCGAAGGTAGACAGATCGCAACGGGGAAGCCGTGGTGGTGCCGTGCCCGCGTTTTGGCCTGCCGTGAAGGGGTTGGCGCGCTGGGTCGAAGTTGACGCGGCCGGTGACCCCGGGGCTTGATTGATCCGTAGTGCCAAGTCTGCCACTGCAGTATGTAGAGCCTCGGTGAGAGCCCGGTTTTGGACTGCCAAAGCTTGCCGAAACTCCTCCGTGGCTTGTTGGTGGGCCTCACGAAGCTGTCCGATCTGCTCCTCCAGAGCTCGGTGACGGGTCTGCGCTCCGTCGTTGGTCATGTTGGCCACTCTCAATGAAAGCACCAAATGTTAGGGAACTTTTTTGGTTGTTTGTATTGCTGTTATTTTCCACTTTCGAGGGTGGAGACCTCCAGAAAAGAAACTATAGAGAGAGAAGAGAGCACCAGAAGAAGATGAGAGAATTTCTTAAATCCAGGATGATGTCCCTTCATTTTATTTCTACTTTATATATACAAGCTAATGTTAACAAACTTCCTACTAACTGCCTACAGTTACTAGTTTTTATTTAATGACCAGAATAAATGAAAATAATTAAAGACAAAGTCCAAAAGCTATAATTTAGGAACAGACATAGTCATGCAGCTTGAGAGGTGGTTTAGTGATCCTCTTTTTGTGTAGATGGTCTGACTCCTTCTCTGTAACAATAATCCATCCTATTCTTTTGCATGTATGAAAGAGAGAAAGAAGAAAAGCTAACCTTGTTCATCTGGTTCAGAGAGGCCAGGAACCCTCCCTGCTAAAAGCCCCTGTTTCACAACAGCTAATCCCTCTCCTGAAAACCCCAACACCATTGAAGCTCCAGAAATCATAGCAAACCTTCTATTAACCATGCCACACTTCTTCTCGGATTCTTCGTCACTCTTAGTGCCCTCACTGGAGCATGCAGAGGCTCTTGCCCTGAAACGCCGTCGTTCTGATGCGCACATCTTCCAACAAAGGCAAGGGCTTGTGTATACAATTGTGCCCATTTTAATCCTCCCAACAATTTTGCAGAGAGGAGAGTGAGTGTTCAATTAGGTTTGGTTTTTGAGCCCTTCTTCTTCTGGAATGGGCAAGAGGATCTAGAAGCTAAGCTGCGAAATCTGTGTGGTGGATATTTAATAGGTTTTGTTTATTTTGGGAATTTTCTTCATCATAAAATCAATCTCCTCGCAATGCTTTCTACCACTCAAATTATATCAAATACTACAATTAGCCCTTTGATTTGGCAGTGATGTCTTTATTTTGTTCCTCAGTTAAAACAGCCTACTAATTTCCTCCCATCGTTATGGTCCAGGCAACTGTGTGAACTATAAATAAAAAGTACATTATTTTATATACTATCAAATAATCTATATTCATTACATAAATAATATATTTTTAATATATTAAAAATGTATCTTTTATTCGGGGAATTATATTATTTAAGTATTAAAAGTACATTATTTTGTACCTTCATTATTTAAATAATGTACTTTTAATACATTAAAAATGTATTTATAATGGTCCACATAATAATTTGTCTTTCCTCCACAACATCTTTGATTTAAAAAAAAAAGTTCGTTGTTTTGAGTGAAACTCTCCTTGAAATCTTTACGAAAACTTAACAAGATCCACAATGAGATTAATCTATTTAAATTGTTTATAACTAACTAGTTCAGAAGAAAAAAAAAAATTCGCTTCTCGGGTCTTAGCGTAATTAGTGTGTTGTCTGACTTTAAAATCATGATTAAAAAATAATTCGACGAAATTAGGATCACCTAAGTTAAAATAAATAAATAAATAAATAACAATAAACAATCAACTTTTTACCAATACCACCTTATATCACGTAATTAATTGATAAAATGGTTTGAATTGAAAACACAGTTTAAATCACACATATTCTATACCGATATGATATTTAAAAATACTTTTTCTTTTAGCTATATCAATTTCAATTCAAGTTTTTCTAGAGTAATTTAAATACGATAACAAATCATAGAATCTTTTAAATTACATTGTCTAGATCATTCATAAAAAATTAAAAAAAAAAATATTTTCTAATTTGGTTTTTCCATAAGTGAATCACAAAATATATTTCATATAAATTAATTAATCAAGTTAAATAATCTTATAATTCATAAGTCATAAAGCTCACAAAAAAATACATGCAAAGAATATAAGTATTAAATTACTCGAGTGTAGAGAAAAATTTATTAAAAGTGTGATTTATATATATATATATATATATATATATATATATATATATATATATATATATATATATAGAAGTTTGCTTAAATGCGACAACGCTCTCCCGTGCGGCTGTGCAGCCGTTTGAAGAATGCATCAATAGTGTAGGAAAATACACAACAATGAAATGTAAAAAATACACAACACATCCAAAAAAACACCATATAACTCCACACCCCTAATGGTGCATTTCCAAACACTGTGTGGTGCTTTTATTCATACCTAATGATGTATTTTTGGTGATGCGTACATAATTTATACGTTTTTTTGTTGTGCATTCCCTAATGTTGATAGTATATATTTGCATAACTATTGGTGCAACCGTACTGACCGTACGGAAAGGCGCAACCGCACCTGAACTCAACTCTATATATACACACACTATACATACACAAAAGGGATGGGGCCTAGGGGTGGGGTGGGGTGAGGGTGGGCCCCCTCCCAACATGGGCCTGGGCAAGGGCCCAACTTGCCCTTGCCTAGGGCCAGCCCTGTCCATGGTCGACATAATAATATGCCTTTCCTCCCCTACATCTTTGATTCAAAGTAAAGCTCGATGTTTTGAGTGAAACTCTCTTTGTGATCTTTAGCGAAATTTAACAAGAACCTCAATGAGATTAATCTATTTAAATTGTTTATAACTAACTAGTTCAAAATTTAAAAAAAAAAAAAATTAATTCGACAAAATTAGGATCACTTAAATTTAAAAAGGTGAAAAAATCAGTACACAGTCCACTTTTAATCAATACCACCTTCTAAAAAAGTACACATAGAAAACGAATTTAATGCAAATTAGCCGTAATCGGTTGCTAACTTCGTTTTGACCTAATACGTTTTTGTCACTCCCAACACTTCTCATTAGAATTTTTAAAACATTATTTAAATTGATTAATTAATAATACAAAATATGTTTTTTAATTCAATTATGAAAAATATTGTAAAAGGAAATTTATTTGTTATGAATTATCTAGTCAATGAAATTTAGAAGTTTTAATTATGTACTATTGTGTTCAAATTAATCTAAAAATACTTATACCGAATTAATTAAAATAAAAAGTGCTTATGAATATCATATTAATAGAGATAGTACGCAATTTATCCCCACCATTTCATATTTTATCATAAATATTGTTTATCACGTTTTGAAGTTATTTAATTTTTCGCCCCCAATAAACAAGTTTTATAACTTCGCTCTTGTATTAAACAAAATGTCTCTTAAAACTATATCATAATCATGATTACATGTGAAATTCTCAACTTATGAACATTTATTTTTTAGTTTATTTAGTTACACTTTGTACATTATGGAATTAAAACAATGTTAAAATTACTTAACATGATACATTTATAGTTAACAAATTATGTACAAACAGTTAAAATTATGCACACACTGCAAAGGTAAATGTTGACTAAACAAAAGGAAGAGTTTTTTTTTTTTTTTAAGGTTGCACTCATTTAAGCAAAAATGACTTTATTTTGTATCAGGGTCCATAATCCAATGTTTACTTCAATCATGATATAATTTGTGTTAATTCCATTTATAATGTATATATATTATACTCGGTGCATTTCCTTCTATTTGCATGTTTGCACGGGAAATCTAGTTCGCGTCAAAGCACGACTATATGGTGCACTCGGACTGGACTTCCTGTGCAAACATGCAAACAGAAGGAATGCACCCAGTATAATAATAACAAGAGTTTATTCTGAAATGGTTTCTCGATTATTGTAAAATTATCAATTTGGACCTCGATTATTTTGTGCCCAATTAAGTTCTTGACTTTGAAAATGTTAAGTAATTTGATCTTTCATTTATTTTGCTGTTAGACATCCATTAACTCGGGACCAAATTGGTAATTTTTCTATAGTCAATGGACTATTACAGGGTTATTTTACTATTAATATAATGAATATGAATATAAGGAAGATTTTACAACAAAAAATTTGGAAACAGTTATTAATAATTTAGATTAAAATTACAGGGCGTTATTTAACTATTAATCTAATCAATCAATAATATTATTAAAAAAATCATCATTTTTAACTTGCCGCCCAAACACTTAATAATAATAAGGTTAGGAGTAAAAAAGGAAAAATAATGGATAAAAATCTGTAATTCGAGAAGCCATAATGTTCTAAAATTATTTCTACATGTTATTTACTATTAATCTATTGAATATAAATATAAGGAAAATTTTGGGAAAAAAATGAAAAAGGATCAGTTATTAATAATTTAGATTAAAATTACCGGACGTTATTTTACTATTAAGCTAATTAATATAAGGAAGATTTTGCAATAAAAAAAAAAGGAAAAATAATCAGTTATTAATAATCTATACTTCTATACTATTATTTAAAACAAAATCCTCCTTTTTAAATTTCCGCCCAAGCACTTAATAATAATAAGGTTAGCAGTAAAAAGAGAAAAATAATGGATAAGAATCTGTAATTCGAGAAGCTATAATGTACTAAAATTATTTCTACACGTTATTTTACTATTAATCTAATGCATATGAATATAAGGAAGATTTTGCAAAGAAAAAAAAAATCGGTTATTAATAATTTAGATTAAAATTACATGCCAGTATTTTACTATTAATCTAATCAATCAATCAAATTTTGTCCAAACTCATTTCATCAATTGCACTATTAGACCTATTTGTCAATTAACTTTATAAATTTTAATTGTATAAATCAAAATCAAGCAAGGATAACGTCAAAAAACATAATCTATCCAACTCATTTCATCAATTGCACTATAAAATATTCGTTGTTATAATTTATATAATTGTATATCGATCCAAATATTCTTAAAATATTATAACAAATTTATTTCGTGCAACGCACTAGTAAAGACATTGAAAGTAGGATTGAAGCGGAAGCGTTAGCCCGGATCCACATTCGACTGGAAATGAGGATAATAATTTTCTTCAGAGGACAACAAGTGGCAAAAGTTATGAATGCATATACAAATTAAAGTGCCTCCTAGCCTCACAGAGGTCAACACTGACACCAAAGCGACTGAGATCGTATCTATCGGGCCTTACCATCGTGGCAGGGACAAGGTTTTCGAATTTGAGAACTACGAATGGAGCTTTCTTGACTATATCTTGTGCTTCACCATGAGAAACGGGAATGATCTAGACAGGATCATTAGATCCATGCCAGACTTGGAAAGAAGCGCAGGAATATGCTACTCTGAGCCAATTTCAATTTCAAGCAAGGACATTGCTGAGATGATGATATTGGATAGCTGCTTCATTCTAGGGTATATGTTGTATGTATACACAAGCCAAGAAGATGAACCCACCCTCTCTATTCCAATTGTCACCAGGGACCGACTGAAGCATGAGAATCAACTCCCATTTTTCATTCTTGAAATGATGTATGATTTTATGAAGAGTGATTCACTAGAATTTCTTGCATTGAAATTCTTCAATCTTGCATTGCCAAGGAAGGATCAAGAAATCCTCAAATGTGTACTAATTACGGCAGAACCTAAACATCTCGTTAATAGGAAATAGAATTGGTTAGACTCTCATACATGCTGCTATCCTCAAATGTTTACCAGAGACTCCCAAAGGTTCTTACCGCTCTAATACTATCTTGTACCAGAGCCTAATCAATTCTATTTCCTATGTCAAAAAATCCACAACCTAGGCTCCCAAAGAATCAGACCGCTATCAGATACCATCTTGTATCAAAGCGTAATTAATTATATTTCTTATGTGCAATACCTCGAGCTCTGGTGCCATTGCTAAGGAGGAATCAAGAAATTCTCAAATATTTATTCGTTACTCCAGAACCCAAACATCTCCTTGATTTGGTTTAATCAAGCTATCTGTCATCTATTGTAAACCAACGACCAATGACACACACATCACCATATTCAGATCAATCAATCCAATGCGTGAGGCTACTTCAAAAATCTGGAATCAAGATCAGGCCAGTAAAAGCAAACAGCTTCCTGGAAATAAATTTCAAAAAATCCAAACTTGAGATCCTGCCCATTGCCATCAATGACTACACCACCACCCCCTTTATCAACTGCATCGCACTGGAACAGTGATCCCAGTACATTCGAACACACTTCTCAGCTTACATTGCCTTCATGAGTTGCCTGATCAATTCCACTAGGGATGTCACTTTCCTTGGCCAAGATGGAATCATTACAGATTTTTCATAGGATGACCAATACATCGTCTCCCCCCTTTCACAAACTGAGATCAAATTCTACTGTCAATATTAGAGATTGTTATCTGTCCACACAATTCAGAGAAGTAGGTTTATATTTGCTTTCTTTATATTGTAATTGATATAAATCACGTCTCCTGGGACATCTTTTGAACATACACTAATGATGAGGATATAGAGGATGTGGATTGGAGATCATAAAGCTATCTAGCCTTAAACTTTTTTTTTTTTAGCTTCTTATTGATTTCCTAATGCTAGGCCTAGTTGTTTGTGATTGCATACTACGTGTCATAACCCTCGATCCCCTGAGGACGACATTTTACACCCGTAAACTCACCATCACTCATTTTTGCTACAACCAAGAAGCTTTAGCCGCGATCCACAAACGGCTGAAAATGATGAGAAGTTTTCTTTAGAAGACAACAAGCAGCAGGAGTTATGTATGTATATACATAATGCCTCCCAGCCTCATTCTTGGGTATATGTTGTATGTATACACAAGCCAAGAAGATAAACCACCCTCTCTATTACAATTGTATGTATACACAAGCCAAGAAGATAAACCACCCTCTCTATTACAATTGTCAACAGGGACCTACTGTCCTACTGAAGACAGGGACCTACTGAAGCTGGAGAATTAACTCTCAATTTCCATTCTTGAAATGATGTATGATCTTATAAAGAGTGATTCACTAAAATTTCTTGCCTTGAAATTCTTCAATCTGGCATTGCCGAGAAAGTATCAAGAAATCCTCAAATGTTTATCAATAATGGCAGAACCCAAACATCTACTTAATAGAAAATAAAATTGATTAGGCTCTGATAAAATATGGTATCCTCAAATGTTTATCAGAGGCTCCCAAAAATCTTACTGCTCAAATACTATCTTGTACCAGAACATAATCAATTGTATTTCCTATGTCCAAAATTTTCATAACCTAGGCTCCCAAAGGATCACACAGCTCTCTGATACCATCTTGTATCAGAGCCAAATTAATTATATTTCATTTGTGCAATATCTCGAGCTCTGGTGCCATTACTAAGGAGGGATCAAGAAATCCTCACATGTTTATCAGTTACTGTAGAACCCAATCATCTCATTGATTTGGTTTACTCAAGCTATCTGTAATCTACTATAAACCTATGACATGTGACATTCACATCACCATATTCAGATCAATCAATTCAATGCGTGAGGCTATTACAAAAATCTGGAATCAAGATCAGGCTAATAAAAGCAAACAGCATCCTGGAAATAAATTTTAAAAAAGCCAAACATCAGATCGTGCTAATTGCCATCAATGACTACAACACCACCCTTTTCATAAATTGCATCGCACTGGAACACTACACACAACACATTAGAACACACTTCTCAGCTTACACTGCCTTCATGAGTTTCCTGATCAATTCCACCAGGGATGTCAATTTCCTTGGTCAAGATGAAAGCATTACCGGTTTTTCCCAGGATGACCAATACATCGTATCCCTCTTTCACAAACTGAGAGCAAATTCCGCTATCAATATTAGAGATTGCTATCTGTTAACACAATTTAGAGAACTATGTTCATATTTTTTTTCTCTATATTGTAATTGGTATAAATCATGTCTCTTGGGGCATCTTTTGAGCATACACTAATGATGAAGATATAGAGGATGTGGAATGAAAATTATAAAGTTATGCAGCCTTAAACTTTTTTTTTTTTTTTTTTGCTTTTTAATGATTTCCTAATGCTAGGCTTAGTTGCTTGTGATTACATATTACGTGCGAGAACACCCAATCCCCTGAGGATGATATTTTACACCCGTAAACTCACCATCACTCATTTTTGCTACAACCATGAATCTTTAGCCCGGATCCACAGACGGCTGGAAATGAAGAGAAATTTTCTTCAGAAGATAACAAGTGGCAGGAGTTATGTGTGTATATACAGAGTGCCTCCCAGTCTCACAGAGGTCAACACTGACACCATTGCACCTGAGATGGTGTCTATCGGGCCTTACCATCGTGGCAAAGACAAGGTTTTCGAATTTGCGAACTACGAATGGAACTATCTTGACTCTATCATGTGCTTCACCCGGATGAATGGGAATGATCTAGTCAGAATCATTAGATCCATGCCAGACTTGGAAAGAAGCGCAAGAATATGCTACTCTAAGCCAATTCCAATTTCAAGCACGGACATTGCTGAGATGTTGATATTGGATAGCTGCTTCATTCTTGGATCTATGTTGTATGTATACACAAGCCAAAAAGATGAACCCACCCACTCTATTCCAATTGTCACCAGGGATCTACTGAAGCTTGAGAATTAACTCTCATTTTCCATTCTTGAAATGATGTATGATCTTTTAAAGAGTGATTTACTAGAATTTCTTGCCTTGAAATTCTTCAATCTGGCATTTTCAAGGAAAGATCAATAAATCCTCAAAGAATTATCCATAACGGCAGAACCCAAACATCTTCTTAATAGGAAATAGAGTTGATTAGGCTCTGATACAAGATAGTATCCTCAAATGTTTATCAGAGTCTCCCAAAGGTTCTTACCGCTCTAATACTATCTTGTACCAGAGCCTAATCAATTCTATTTCCTATGTCCAAAATTTTTCACAATCTGGCTCCCAAAGGATCACACCGCTCTGTGATACCATCTTGTATCAGAGCTAAATTAATTATATTTTTTATGTGTAATATCTCGTGCTCTGGTGCCATCACTAAGGACGGATCAAGAAATCCTCACATGTTTATCAATTACTGTAGAACCCAAACATCTCATTGATTTGGCTTACTCAAGCTATCTGAAATCTATTGTAAACCCATGACCTGTGACATACACATCACCATATTCAGATCAATCAATCCAATGCCTGAGGCTACTAAAAAAATATGGAATCTAGATCAGGCCAATAAAAGCAAACAGCTTCCTGGAAATAAATTTCAAGAAAACCAAACATCAGATCTTGCCAATTGCCATCAATGACTACACCACCACCCTTTTCATCAACTGCATCGCACTGGAGCAGTGCACCCAACACATTAGAACACACTTCTCAGCTTACATTGCCTTCATGAGTTTCCTGATCAATTCCATCAGGGATGTCAATTTCCTTGGCCATGATGGAATCATTACCGGTTTTTCCCAGGATGACCAATACATCGTCTCCCTCTTTCACAAACTGAGAGCAAATTCCGCTATCAATATTAGAGATTGCTATCTGTCAACACAATTTAGAGAACTAGGTTCATATTTTTTTTTCTCTATATTGTAATTGGTATAAATCATGTCTCTTGGGCATCTTTTGAGCATACACTAATGATGAAGATATAGAGGATGTGGAATGAAGATCATAAAGTTATGCAGCCTTAAACTTGTTTTTTATTTTTTTTCTTTTTAATGATTTCCTAATGCTAGGCCTAGTTGCTTGTGATTACATATTACGTGCGAGAACACCCAATCCCCTGAGGATGATATTTTACACCCGTAAACTCACCATCATTCATTTTTGCTACAACCATGAATCTTTAGACTGGATCCACAGACGGCTGGAAATGAAGAGAAATTTTCTTCAGAAAATAACAAGCGGCAGGAGTTATGTGTGTATATACAGAGTGCCTCCCAGTCTCACAGAGGTCAACACTGACACCATTGCGCCTGAGATGGTGTCTATTGGGCCTTACCATCGTGGCAAAGACAAGGTTTTCGAATTTGAGAACTACGAATGGAGCTATCTTGACTCTATCATGTGCTTCACCAGGATGAATGGGAATGATCTAGACAGAATCATTAGATCCATGCCAGACTTGGAAAGAAGCGCAAGAATATGCTACTCTAAGCCAATTCCAATTTCAAGCACGGACATTGCTGAGATGGTGATATTGGATAGCTGCTTCATTCTTGAATCTATGTTGTATGTATACACAAGCCAAAAAGATGAACCCACCCACTCTGTTCCAATTGTCACCAGGGACCTACTGAAGCTTGAGAATTAACTCCCATTTTTCATTCTTGAAATGATGTATGATCTTTTAAAGAGTGATTCACTAGAATTTCTTGCCTTGAAATTCTTCAATCTGGCATTGTCAAGGAAAGATCAATAAATCCTCAAAGGTTTATCCATAACGGCAGAACCCAAACATCTTCTTAATAGGAAATAGAGTTGATTAGGCTCTGATACAAGATGGTATCCTCAAATGTTTATCAGAGTCTCCCAAAGGTTCTTACTGCTCTAATACTATCTTGTACCAGAGCCTAATCAATTCTATTTCCTATGTCCAAAATTTTCACAATCTGGCTCCCAAAGAATCCAGCGCTCTCTGATACCATCTTGTATCAGAGCCAAATTAATTATATTTTTTATGTGCAATATCTCAAGCTCTGGTGCCATCGCTAAGGACGGATCAAGAAATCCTCACATGTTTATCAATTACTGTAGAACCCAAACATAAAGCTATCTGAAATCTATTGGAAACCCATGACCTGTGACATACACATCACCATATTCAGATCAATCAATCCAATGCGTGAGGCTACTACAAAAATCTGGAATCTAGATCCGGCCAGTAAAAGCAAACATCTTACTGGAAATAAATTTCAAGAAAGCCAAACATCATATCCTACTCATTGCCATCAATGACTGCACCCTTTTAATACAAAAATAATGTACCTTTAGTACAAAAATAATGTACTTTTAATATATTCAAAATGTACCTGATATTCATGGTTCACACAATTTGTGTGGACTATGGTCCATACAATAATTTGCCTTTCTCGATACGCTAGGCTCAAAAGAGCTAGTATACACAATGCTTGATATAACGGTCCAAAAAATAAATAAATAACAAGTACTATAACATGTCCATTTTCTATAAAATTAACCAAACAGAACAAAAAAAAAAAAAAAAAAAAAAAAAAAAACTTTTTGTCAAACCGAAAAAAAAAAAAAAAAAAAAAAAATTTGACCTTCCGCCAAACATTATAAAATTAAAATATTTTTTAAAAAAATGAGTCATTTTCTAAAAATCATTTTCCATAAAACATTTTTCAAGTTTCCAAATTAACCCTAAAATTCTTACTTAACCAAATTATTACCCAAATTTTAATTTTATGACTTCTTAAATTTATATACTATTATTTTTTAAAAAAATATTCCAATATAACTATGATTTTAACATTGTGTACTAATATTACACAATAATTATATCGTGAACCAGGGTGCACCCAAACACATCCTCTCCTTATACATGTTTTTCAACTTAAATTTATTTTTATCTTTTTCTTTTTATAAAAATAAAACTAATGTACAAAAAATATATTATTAAAAATCTCTAATTAAGATCTTTTAAAAGACACCCATATTGATATTTTAAAAATGAAAATAAATTCATACGTATATAAAGTCGTTACTTTAATATAATGCTTATGTACATTAAACTTTGTATTTATGAACCCAGAAAAAATATTACGAATATACTATAAAGTGAATGAAAGTACATTATGATATACATTTATTTTATTGTCTATGGACATTAACGTTTATGTTTATGGATATATAGAACAAATATTATAAGTATAATACATGATAAATGTTACTCCTTATTAAACATGATGCGTCTATACTCTGTAGTATAATATTTATGCACATTAAACTTTGTTTTTATGAGCATATAGAAAGAACATTGTGAACCTATTATAAAGTAAATAAAATAAATATGATCTACATTTTTTTTTTTGAAAGTTACTGGCTCTATTACATTGTAGTATCTGTTCATATACTTTCTCAACCTACTGAAACACAAAGAACCAATAACGCCTCCATTGTAAATATGATCTACATTTAGTTTAGTGTTTATGGACATATAATAAATATTATGAACATAGTATAAGATGAATGTTACGAAGTATTAAACATTATGCGACTATAATATAATGTTTATGTACATTAAACTTTGTTTTTATGAACATATAGAATGAAAACCTACTATTAAATTAATAAAAATACATATGATGTACATTTAGTTTAATATTATGAAGTTATGAACATTAAGGTTTAGGTTTATTAACATAGTACATGATAATATTATTAAATATGATGCACTAGTTGAGACTTAATATAAAATAACGTCGTTTTAGACCAAGCAAGATGAACTTTAGTCCACAATATAATTTACCAATATTAGACACTTACTTTTGCGCATGGCACATCAAAAAAAAAAAAAAAAAAGACTAGCAAGTTTATTACTTGAGCAAATTATGCTGTGCATCCGTGTGCACCATGCATGATGCACACGGGTGTAAAAACAACGTCATTTTGACTAAAAACGTGCGTCCAACTTAAAAAAAAAAAAAAAAAAAAAATCAGTTTCGATTCCCGTCAACATTATGTTGTGCATAATTTCTAAACATATAGTTATAAAATTATGGATGTATAGTTATGCAATTCTGGATTTATAGTTATGAAATTATGGATGTGTAGTTATGCAATTCTGAATGTATAGTTATGAAGTTATGAAATTCTGGATTTATAGTTATGAAGTTATGGATATGTAGTTATGCAATTCTGAATGTATAGTTATGAAGTTATGAAATTCTGGATTTATAGTTATGAAGTTATGGATATGTAGTTATGCAATTCTGGATGTATAGTAATGAAGTCATGGATGTGTAGTTATGCAATTCTGCATGTATAGTAATGAAGTTATGGATGTGTAGTTATGCAATTCTGGATGTATAGTAATGAAGTTATAGATGTGTAGTTATGCAATTCTGGATGTATAGTTATGCAATTCTGGATTTATAGTTATGAAATTATGGATGTGTAGTTATGCAATTCTGGCTTTTTTTTTTTATTTTTTAATTCAACGTCAAAACGACGTCTTTTTTGCATCTGTATGCACCATACATAGTGCACACGGATGCACATCATAACGATCCTATTACTTGCCACCCAATCTCAATTGGGAGGAATTGTTGGGCTACAATAAGCCCAACAAACTACACTCCGTATCGTGGACCATGATCTACCTTACATTAAGAACCATAGTCTAAAACTATATTCAGATTATTTATCTGCAGTTAATATATTATATACCTTCAGTTAACATATTATATATATATATAAATAAAATATATTAATTACAGATATATAATATGTTAATTGTAGATACATAATATATTAGTTGTAGTAGATATTTAATTTATTAATGTACATAATATGTTAACTCCATATTCATAATTTGAATGTTGTTTGCTATAACAATTAAGCCTTATATAATGGAGAATCAATATAACATTAGTAACACGACTTATAATCAAAATATATTAAATAATTCGTAACTTCTTCCCCTAAATTCTTTTTTCTTTTTGTGTGAATAAAATTAATGTATAAAAAAATATTTACTTACAAAAGTTCTAATTGATATCAATACCCATCTTAATTTTTTTTAATAAATATATAAATTCATAAAGTCATTACTACAAATTTATCAAGTAAAATTTATAAGTTCATAAAGTCACTATGCAAGTTTATTAAGTAACTACTTTAATGTAAATTTATTAAATCAGTATTAAATGTTTATTAAATAATTACTGCTAATTCATAAAAAAAAAATATTGTAAGTTCATAAAGTTAATATTAAAAATTCATCACATAATTATTGAAATAATATATTTAAATATATATATATATATATATATATATATATATATATATATATATATATATTAATTTAAAATATATAAATAAGATATTTTTAATGATATACGGAGTATTATTTATACATTAATTGTATTTATACAAAAATAATAATATGTTTAAGTAATATTAATTAATTAATGCTATTTTATGAACTTATAATATTGTTTTAATGAAAACAATTTTTTTTATAAAATTACAAAAAATTATTTTTATGATGTGAATCTATCATATATAGCATAGATTTCTAGTTCATGATATAATTTCCCTACTAGGGAGGGACTTGTTTCTAAGTGAATAGATCCACCCTTAAAGGCATTTTACCAATAATAGCTAGCGTTGAAATGACAATTGGCAATCAAACAAGGTATTTCCTCCCTATAAAATGAAAGATTGAAAACCTGGAATATGCTCATATCTAAGATTTAGACCGTGCCTAATCTGTAGAATTAACAGAATATAGTATTCAGCGTAATACAACCAAGGGAAGAAATTATAGTTGGAGAACAAAATGACAAGACCTAATTACATCACTCACATAGGCTGCATCAAGAAGAAGAGTCGGCCGATTCTGCGGCTGCTCTTTTCTTGGCAAAATATTCTTCCGCTCTGGCAAGGTTCTTAGCGACTGATGGCTTCACCCACTTCTTTCGCCCTGGTAGAACAGTCAATGAACAACCGGCAGCCTCCAGCTTCTCCTTCGCTGATTCTGAAAAGGCTCGGGCTTTCAAGCTTAGCTTCACGCTAAGCTCACCGTCACCTAAGATCTGAAAGAAAGAAATATATGAGCCAATGAATTAACAGTTCATATTGGGATAAGCCCAGAACGGTAATAAATGCAAATTGCACACAAATTTCTACATATAATATCAAGTTATTCTCCGTGTAAACAGGAAAGTCTATGGATGCATTGTACTGTTAATTGATTGTTATAACATGAAAGTAAAAATATTTAATTACTTATCATTACCTTTAATGGTAATCTCCTTTCTCTTCCAGATGGGTTTATAATGCCCCTCTCTTTCAAGGATTCAAGAGAGACCTCTTCCCCTTCACTAAATCCAGCAGCTTCTATGTCTTTCAAGTTCACTGGGACATATTTTGGTAGTCCAGCATGCATACCTTTTATTCATGTGGGTTAGTTAAAGTGTCAAGACAATTAAGGGCAGACCACAGAGAACGGATAATAAATTCCAATACTAGATCCAAACAATTAGCAACGGATGTTATCATTTACCAGACAAGCCACTTAGACAAATATGAAGTAACTATGCACACCATTGATATAGTAGCTGAATTAACTAAAACAAATATATATATGGAGGGCAGTGCTTTAGTTCCATTATGTACAATATAAATGGAGGAAATACAAAAATTTAGCAAAAGAATAATTAACACATATTTCAGCTTAAGAAAAGTATGTGCAATTTAGGAAAATACATTTCCCAATTCCCATTGTCAGATAAAACTGAACCTTTTAATTTTCAGCATCCTAATGTGTTTCAGAGGGGGTTGAAAATCAATACAAAAACTGTCCACTTCATACCTTCTGATCTAATTCTTAGGTGAGACTTTATGTGCTTATTTTATTATTTTAAATTGAAAGTAACAAATAGCTATTTTTTCTAATGCTCTTCTATATTACTCAATATGATTTTTAACTAAAAGGAACAAAAATTAAGTAGACTAATTTTTCTCCTTAAGAAATGGGTTCTATGGGCTAAAGAGATGGTGGTTCACAGCTCTAATTTATTGAGCCCCTTTTTTCTCCATTCATCATCTGGATTTCTGACAGTGAAAAGCTTAGTGGACTTATCTTTGATGCTATCAGTGCAAGGCTAGAGGCACAATGGTTAATTTAAAGTTTTTGAGTAAGATACAGGTAGTGTAAGAAACAGAGAATTGTAATCTTTTAACTGAGTTAGCATAATAGTTTTTACATTTTGAGATTATATTCAGACTGAACCACTCGTCCACTCTTGGCATGAGTGTGGTCTCATTTTAGCTAATACATTTTATTTTATTTTTAGTGTCAACTATTCAGCTTTACACGAGTGTGGTCTCATTTTAGTTCTCCTGTTGTGAAATCTTTAACAGCTATAAGAGTTGAAAATAAATGCTAACACATGTTTGCAAATGTACAGTAAGAATACGCTATTTCCAAATAAATGATGTAAGTAATCATCCCATGTAAACAAACACTGCAACTAAAATCACATTATCCCACAAAAAGCTTCAATGTTTTAAACCAAATAATAATAATAATAATAATAATAATAATAATAATAATAATAATAATAATAATAATAATAATAATAATAAGGTACAAACAAAAGTACAATTTAGTATTATAGAAAATGTTTTAGGAAAGAAATTACCTCCAGCAATGCCTCTGAGCTTGGGAATTCTCCTATAGAGTGGCATTTGGCCCCCTTCAAACCCCTTTCGGACTCCAGGTCCAGACCTTGATTTCTGACCTCGCATCCCAAACCCACAGCTGCCCCCTTGCCCAGCCGAGTGACCCCTACCCTTTCTCTTCCGGTTCTTAGTAGACCCAGGTTGAGGGCCTAAGTTATTGAGCCGGAATCGGACTGCAGCTGTCATAGTATCTGCTAAAACTGGAGCTTGGTTGAATACAGTGAATGAAGTTCTTGAACTGGGTTTTTGGTTGCTGAGTTTTAAACATCGAAATTGACTTCGGTTTGCTTTCAAAATGCTCACATTTCCCTGAGAAATAATATAAATTAATGAAAATATGTGCATGTGTTTGTATAAAATACATTTGTATACATGTGTGTGTGTGTAGTTTGTTTAGCCTTGTGTAAGGAGCAGAGGTGCCCATATACTGGTCATTGTAAGCTTCAATTATACTGGACAGTAATGATAGTTAGAAGACATGTCTGATGATGCCCCTTTTTACTATAAGATGAAAAAGACACCAAATAAAGATGGAAACAAGGAACACCACCAATCCCTTGTTGTTCTAGGTAATTAAAGAAGAAGTTACAACATAATTTTTCATTGTGCTATTCAAAAGTCATAACAAAATAAAACATACGGAGTATATATTTGTAAAGTAACATTACCTAAGTTACAAAATTTTGGAATGGAAGCAAATTAAATTATTAATAAAAAATAAAAAAAGCAATTACACCATTACAAAAGTGACGACAACAAAAAAAACCAGATGAATACTGTATATAAAACAAATTCTTATGATGCATAACAAGTTACTTGTTCTCCTCTCATGCAACAAAAAAGTTGCAAAACTTTTGAATTGCTCCACCTTTGAACTAAATGAGACTTCATTTTTATCCTAATGTATGAGCAGACCAAATCAGAACACAGCTCCACTCTCACAACCAGCATTAGTGTAATCACTAAGCACAAAGCCAAAGTTTTACAATTTCAACAAACTAACCATGAATTTCAACAAGAGAAATAAAGCAAATTAATAGACTAACTGTACCGAAAACATGAAACATATTTCCACTTATATATATTATATCCATTAGAGAAAATAAGCAAATACAAACAGGGAAAAAAATGAAAAAGCAAGCACATAGGCAACCAGAATTTCAAATAAGTAGTGGTTTAAAGTCTGTTGTTATTTCAATAGGTTTGTGGTTCTTAAGTTTAATTTAGGGCATAAACTACCCTGGTCCATGGTATGCATGCAAAAAATTACTCACTTTGAATGATGCAATTGTTTATTTAAATGATATCTACAAGCACACAAACTATTGTCACATTCCATATGTATAGAATGTTCACATTCAATCCATTTACAAATAAACTAACACCAATGTCCACCAGAGAATTATTCTAAAGTTCTAATTAGTAGCCTCAAAATGATTAAACAATTTCCAGTTTTACCCTAATTGCACAAGCACCCATCAGAAAACCCTAAGATACTAAGATGGATAAACTGCAGTGCAAATTGGAGGAGATTTCGTTATCATTTTCATTTTCAAAAACGAGCAAGGAACGAGAAATTTCAGGAGGAGAGCAAACTTAGAAGCCACTGTCGGCCCTCATCTAGAAACAAGTAAAATCTCTACTGAAATGAAAGAAAATCCCCCAAAAATTGAAGGAGATTTTGAACAATCAAGACGAGAAATTGTAGTTCTTTGATTGTCCATATGGATTATATAAAGATAAACATAAAGAGATAGAATTGTACCTTGAATGCGGAGCAGAGTTGAGGATAGACTGCTCCACTGGAAGTGGAAGGGATTGGGGAAGATAGGGAGAGAAGGGAAGCCATGGCCGTGCGTGCAGCTGCAGATAACGGGGACTGGAGCCAAAGTAAGGATAAAAGGATTGCAATTCTTTTTCTTTTTTTCTTTTTTTTTTAAGAGATTATTTTTAAAAAGCTTTTAAATTAAACCATTTCTAAATTATTTCTCCTATCTCTCTAGTCTCTTCCCCTATTAGATTGTTGGCATCTATAAAATATTCCATCACTTTTAAAAGCTATTCTCAATTTCTCATTTTTTTTCATTATATTATATTTAGACCATCGCTTAATTTAAAATATCAAATTCTATACCAAAAATATCAAATTCTATACCAAAAATAATATTCTCAATTTGATTTTGATGTTAATGTTAAAATTATAATTATTAATCATATTATAATTATTAGCAGAAAAACATAAATTTACTTTGTAATAAAAATTATTTTTTAAACTATCAAAGTTATATTTGTGAAAATCTTATGTTTTGGAGAAAACTTACATTTTTTTTTAATAAAAATTTACGAGGTATTTTTTTATCATAATATTTCTGTTTATAATGAGAAAAAATATAAATGATGTTGTTGGGATTATTTTGGTTTTAGAATTAATTATTTTGCTTTAAACTTTGGGTGTATGGTGTAGAATTAAATGCTGTTGTTGGGATTTATAGAACCCTATAATGTTTTGTATGGATGTTAGTAGTTGTCTTGCATCTATATGGATGTAATAGATGTAACGGTAATACCCCTTGAATCCTAAGTATTTATATTTTAATGGTGGATGCCTAATATTTTATGCTCATAGTTCCTTGTTGATAGGTTGTGATGAATGTCTTAGTATTGTTTAGTGGTTGGAAAACTAGGGGTGTTACATTAGATTTATTCGGCACTTCGCATTCCTCCTCTACTTAGAAATTGTATTTCAATCAAATTGATTTTATTTTTATTTTTATTGTGGTTATCCTTTGTTATACCCAAGGTTATATTTTATATATATTTGCAGTCGATCAAGATTTGGTGGGTGTTTCAGTAAGTGATGTTGATGAAGCTTACGAGTTGTATAACGATTATGCTTATAAAGTTGGTTTTAGTGTGAGGGTGGGTAAACAACGTTATAACGGTTCTACTAACATAGTTAAAATGAAGAAATTTTCTTGTTCTAAGGCTGGTCATAAGGTTAATGTAAACCCTAACGTTAAGCCTTATTCAAAAATTGATTTAAGGACGAGATGTGGTGCGTTTGTTCAGTTTAATATAGATGAGAATGGGGTGTGCACAGTTACGAAATATGAGAAAGGGCATAATCATGAGTTATGCATTTCAGACAAGAGTCATCTACTTCGTTCACATAGAAGAGTGGGAAAGAATTAGCTTTCATATTTAAAAGATTTGAAGAGGAGTGGAGTTGCATTGACAGATGGTATTAGGATTTTGAAACATCAATCAGGGCCATTTGTTAATTTCACAAACCAAGATGCTTATAATTATCTATTTTATGATACATTGAAGAGTTCGGATGGAACTTATTCTAATTCTTTAATTGAAATATTTAGGACGAGGCGGTGTAATGAGACTGATTTTTTCTTGGATTTCGAAGTTGATGTTGATGCAAGATTATGCCGTTTTTTTTTTTTTTTTGGAGGGACAGTCAAATGAGACAAGATTATGAGTTGTTTGGAGATTTGGTAGTGCATGATACAACATATTGGACTAACAAATACGATATGATTTGTGGTCCTTTTGTAGTAATGAATCATTATTGCATTAATGTAATGTTCGGATGTGATTTTTTTTTTTAATTTTTTTAATTTTTTTTTATGAATGATGGATAGAATCCTTTGTGTGGTTGTTTAGAATATTTTTAAGATCTATGGATGATAAGGTGTCCACAGTCCATTATGATGGATCAATTCGCGACTATGGCTGCTGCTATTTCTCAAGTCTTTCTAACATCACGTCATCGTCTTTGCATATGGCATATTGGTGAGAATTCAAATAAGCATATCAAGACATTAAAGAATAAGAAGGATTTCTTAGATTTATTTAACTATTTGTTGAAATACACAAATACCAAAACTGAGTTTGAATTTTATTGGACAATGTATGCCTTTTCATTTATGTTATGAATTTGTTGTGTTGAATTTATGTTACTGCAGTGTTCAATTTTTTATCCATGTGCAGAGTACGATTTGTGGAGTTTACTGTTTTTAATGGATTATTCATTCATTTTGAGTATCTATAGTATTGAAATTGTGTTCATTCAGTATTTTTGTGAACATGTATTAGAGATTTGATGATCTTATTTTTTGTTGAACTTTTTTCTTTCTTTCATACGCCTTAGTGATTGTTTATTATTGTGTTGGAGTTAATTCCAGCAATGGTCCTTCGACTATGTTGATTTTTCAAAATTAGTCCTTGATTTTTAATTTGGACATTTTACCTCCCTTGACTTTCAATTTCTTTCCAATTAAGGTCCTTTCGTCATATTACGGTAAATTAGACTTTAAAGGAAAGGGTAAAGTAGTTATTTCATCTGCCTAATGTATAATTCTTCGTATTTCTTCTATTTATACGCGACTTCAAACATCAAATTCACTTAATTGCTTAATTCTTAATGAAATTTTGTTCTTAATGTTAGTAGTTCTTGAAACTTAAGATGCGTGATTTTTATACTTAAAATGCGTGACTTTTGTACTTAAGTGCGTGATTGATATACTTAATGTGAGTAGTCATTGAAACTTTAAAAATGTACTCTTTGTATACATACAAGTGAACCTCTTTTCATTAATAAATGCTTGTATACATACACAAGAAATTGTACTCTTTGTAACCTCAAGGTCACAAGCTCAAATTCCAGTTCTCTTAATTTTTGAGTCGATCAGGCTATGAAAACCTAAACTATTTTACCTCATTGTGGTCTTTTGTCAATTAAGATTACAAAATAAAATTTGCTCGGTACACAATACACACACTCTCGAGTAGTGACCAAACAACACTAAAGTAGGCCATATATAAAATAAATATTTATAACAAAACATGAAATATTCCATAATCAAATGAATCAAATGTATAATGTATTCCAATAAAAGTTGCAAATTCAGAATGAAATACATACATAAACAGAAACAGACTCCTCACAATCCACTTCTTGTCAGGTTCTTGAAAACCCTTTTCCCTGCTTGCTTTGATTCTCCACTATCAATCAATACAACAATAAGAATACTAATCCAACCCTTAACAGAACTTACCAGAACAAAACCTAAAAACACCATAATACCTTACTACCAAACACACAAAATCATCAAAAGCAAACTGCAAATACACAGATTCTACTCATAAAAATATGCCACTAATTGACAGTTTCAGATTCAAATCATGGTCTAATCATGTTGGATATCAATGCTGCACTATACTTATTTCCCCATAAGTCACCATCCTGTAAGTCAAGGACACTGCCATCGTGACCGGGCGTCACCCATCTTGTAACTCACTTGGTTATGCATATCATTCTTAAAACAAATTGACATTAACCATTTAACCACACCTAAACCACAACAAAGCTAAGGGCAGAACTCGACCGACACCCAACAAATCAGTCATCAAAACACTCGGCCACAACAGAGGAATATTTTAAGATAAAAAAACAGTGAGATTAAGGCTCAGATCCATTATAATCAGGAATTGGAACTCTAGACACCACCAAATCCATGGCTGCAAAAGCAGAGCTTGCATGTGAACATATTCACATACAAATCCACATTGCCCCGCCAAGATAAGGGGGGCCACAGCATCTCAATACCCTTTTTGCCCAAAAGAATTATCATCACAGCCCCAAATTTATTTAATTTCCAGTATTGTGATGTTTGAGCTTAGAACAAGAGAATCACAACACACAGACAAGCAGCCATATCAGAAACAAGAAAACACCATATCCACCAAATGGTACTTAGGCGCCAAATCGTTAATTCTGCAGTTTATATATATATATACACACACACACACAGTGTGGAAAAGGGTTGTTGAATGGAAACTGAAAGAAATCATTGGCTAAGCAGAGAACTGAGAGAAGATCAACCACCCCAAGAAACTTCTGACATCTCTGTTAAAGCCTCAGTCTTTGGGCTGAAATTTCAAGAAAAACAGAACCCAGTGGCTCAGATCTGTGTTTCGTTGGCGCAAAAGAGAAGCCAATGCCGCCATGGCTGCGAACAACCGGGGTACAGATCCGGGTCGCCCCGCCAAGATACGGGCTCGGTCCATCTCAATCGCCAACAAACAAGCTACTCAATCGTTATGCTGTGCAACCGTATACAACAAAAACCCCATTACGATTTAGATTCCCATGTTTCAACCAAACGCCCCTAAGTAATCGATGCAAGAAAGCAGTATAATTTGCCAGTAATAACAGAAATTAAAGCATAATATCCATGAAAAATACAAGGAATTCAGAACCAAGCATGCCTTAAGATACGAAAGATCTACTTTTCATGCTCTCTTCTGTTCTCTTGCATTTTCTGAAAGGGCTGTTGATTTCTTTTTGACGAAAATTGAGAAATCATTGGCAAATCAGAGAGCGGCAACCACCCTTTCAAGAAATCCCATCTCTCTGTTGCCCTCATTATTCCTTTCTAGGGCTACAAGGAAAGGTTTTTTTTTTTGGAACACTGACTGAGAGGTTTAAACCTCTCATTTATCTAGTGTTATATCATTGACCAGGTCTACCCTACTTATTCTCCACCCTAATCCTGATTATATCTACTTATTCTCCATCTTATCTTGATTATATATACATACAATTATCATATGTATTTTATTTAATAAATTATATTCAAAAGATTTATGATTTTACTAAATTTAAATCATTGTTCTTCCAAAAGACTGAACATCAACCCTAATGACAAATTTAAAGCATTGTTAAATTTAGGAGTGGACAATTTGGTTCGATTTTTTTTTTTTTTTGAACCGAATTAGTAATATACAGAAAAATCGAACGGTTCGGTTAAAAATCGAACCAAACTAAACGATTTGGTAAAAATCGAACCGAACCAAATATCGTTTGATTATCTTAATAATAATAATAATA